CTGCTCTGTCATTGAAGTTAAGTTAATTAAGTTAACTTAACTTACAACGCTAACAGAAGATTATGATGCTCTGAAAGAGCGAGGAGACGTTCTTGAGGGGACTTCGCAGCGCGCAGTTTGCGTGCTACTACAGTGATTTCCCTAATGTCAATATTCCTAATAGCGGAATACAGTGTATTGTAGTCATCAGCTGTGGGCTCTGATTCATGGTGGTAGGAGGTTGTCCGCGGTGGGTCTGCCTTTTTGGGGCCCCAGGGAAAGACTGGAGGCTGCATGGGCTTGGAGAAGCCCGGAGGGGGGCGAATTATGCCCTGAGGGGGGCCTAGGGGGACCCTGAGAGGGCCGAGAGAAGCCCTGGATGGGCTGAGAAAGGCCCTGACGGGGCCGTTGGTAGAGGGCCGGGAATGAGCGGTCATTGACCGGCGGTGGAGCTTGCCTACTGGGGCGAGGTTGAGGTGCGCAGGGGCAGCCCCTGTAGTTAGCCGGGTGGCCTGTCTGTTTGCACAGGACACATGCGGGCGGGGATTCGGCGTCTTTGGGCCGGGGGCACTCTTTAGTGTTGTGGGGTTCAAGGCACAAGACACACTGTGCGTACCTGCCGGAAGATGGCTTTTGCCTCCGGCACGTTGGTTAGTATGACAAGGGCGAGGTTGAACCTCTTGCCCGTTCTACTGTGCATTTTATGCACTGCTTCTACGGGGAAACCTTGGGACTTAAGGTGCTTAAGGATTTCCTCGTTGGAAAATTCGAAAGGGACGCCTCGGATGACGGCCCTGACTTTACGCTCTTCCGGGAGAGCGTAAGTGTGATAAGAGACTCGTTCGGCTGTGAATAGCCTGGTGAGTTGGCGGAAATCCTCGATCGAGTTGGGGATGATTTTAATAGCCTCCCCGAGGTTGATGGCATGGTCGTATTTTATGCCGGCGTCGTAACAGGTTTTAGATAACTTGGTGATTTTAGCCTTGTCTCTTAGGAAGACAGGGGGCGGGACTTGCTTCTTAGCAAGGACTGGAGCACATCGAGAGGATGGTTTTGTCGGAGGCGCTATCGTACACAAACATGACAATTTATATCACATTCGCGCAAGCGCCCTGCGCCGCCTAAACGAAACAGCAGGCGCAGGCGTGTGCCTGCGCCTGCTGTTCGCCTTTTTCGCCGCGCCATAGAAAGAGAGGGGGATACTTCCCCTCCTACTCTCCATCCGTCTTACGAATTTTCGATCAGATCACGTGTCCTGACTCCTGACGCGAGTCTAACATTTTTTAACCCATTACAAAAAAAGTGCACAACGCCGCTAAAGAAGTTTTCACTTCAAAAATTAAATTTAAAAGCTATAAAATCCGTAAAATTAGTTTTATTTAATGTTTGAATTCTTTTTTTTTTTTGGTATCAACCCCGTTGACCTTCTTACTCAACATTTGCCATTGCCAGTCACTACTTACAATTAATCTTTGTAGATTGAATGTTGTTAAATGGCTTGTTAGTGTACAATCAGCGACGGAACCGATCGATCGGTACGCCGGGTTTTAGTCGCGACGGAGAGTTACACTTGTGACCTTTGATTACTCCCGTTTTTATTTTATTTTTAATAATATTGGCAATATTTGTTTGTGTTTGTAAATGCTGGCTTTCACAAGTATTATGGGAACGTTTGCTGATTCACCGGCTTGGCACTGTCGAAAATTTATATAAAACCCTGAAACTAACTAAATTTTAAAAGTGAAAGAAAAATCACAGGGTCTCTAAACTCATTTCAATTTGCGGTCCGCTAATTAGTTTTGCTGAAGATTTTTACGCCGCGTCGCATCGGTCGACTCGCCCGTTCGACTTCACAGACAGATTGCGATACTTGAGCGACGGTTGCTTTTGCGAGAAGTTTTCATAATATTTATCAAGTCTCGCAGAACAGACTTACCTACTTTACCTGCCTTGCGCTAATCAACATTGTCTTGAACAACTAGCATCATGGTGAAGCCTTTCTTGACCGAAAATGACGAATTTGTGTAGTGTTAATCTTATCGAAAATCTGACAACACGGATATTATTTTCTAGACCGTTTTTACAAAATTTGGTTGACTTGATTGATTCATAATCAAAATAGATTGATTCATTATCGAAAGAGATTGATCTTCGTTTGTATGAGTGCACAACTGGCCACCAACATTTAAAAGTAATAATCATTCAAGTTTGTTGACTTACCAATGAGGTACGTCACTGAGGGCCACAGGTTTGAATCTCCTTACGGTTTAAGTATGTATTTGTATGGCCTACAAATAATTGTTCCGTGTCTGGATGTTTGTCCGTGCGCAACTTTACTCTCCCACGATACATGCGAAAAAATTTTAATGGGAAAAAATTATTAAACCATCGAACTCTAAAATGTGCAAATTATTTCGACAAGCGTTTTTTGTTCTTCCACTGTAAGCTTGAGATGATGATAGCTCAAGGAGGAGCGCACAAATTCCGTTCCATTTGTTTTTTTTTTTTCAATTTTAAATCGACTGACTGACCACTAGTCATGTAGAACAAGGTTGTGGTGCTAGAAAGAAAATCATGTAGATATTGTATTGGTCCATTCGGTTAATACTGAATAGAACTGTGTCAATCGATTATTTCTTGCGACCCATTCGTAAGGTGATCGTGTTCTAATGATTCGATCATTCGTAAATTAGCCAAAGTATGGCAAAGTACCATTGAGTGACAATATTGAGTAGGAGAAGTGAGTTATTTATTTTTATTATATACCTACTTCTTTAATATAGAATAGGGTGACAAGCAAGCACACAGCCCACCTGATGGTAAGTGGTTGCTGTGGCCCATAGACATCTACATGTATCCTCGATTACGAATCAAAATGCAGATGCGTTGTCATTCGTGAGGAATTAGGTGGAATGCCTCGTTTCCAGTAAAAAAGGTATCCGGTTCTCTACATTCACCACTCACACAGCGGCATTAAGCTACTATTTGACGCTGGTATTTTGTGAGAGCGTGGTCCTTCCCCGGTCGAGCCGACCCATTCGTGCTACAACTATACTACTGATATAACTGCAGCATGGCTCTACCACGTGAAGATTTTTCACTTCTTCACTTCACTTTTCATGATTAACTAGAATATTTTAACAGTACCACATTAATGAAAAAAGAAATTTATACACAGCAAGAAAAAAGTTGCAACAAGAAGTTCCATATTTTCTCGACGTTTCAATCTGTGTGTGCGTGTGTGTATATAACGTGTCCGTTTGTGTACAGATGTACAATTGTGCTTCATTTTCGCCCCGCGTATCTTGAGAACAAATAATTATATTTATTAACGCCGGACTGATTTCATTCAATGCACAATTATGTAATTAGAACCTTAATAAGTTACACCTAATCGCTTCAACAATTTTTAGTTAAGAATATATTAACTGAAGAACTGAGAGGGCAAATTAAGACGACACATCGAAAACGCTATCGCCATACTGATCCGAGTGAATACATAATTTCTATATAAAAACTTGAAGAAACGCCGTCATAAGGTCTAAAATTGCGTAGCGACCGCGACGATTAAAAACGCTTAGAAATTGTCGGAATCTTAAAATATTTTAAAAAAAATTATTGATTTAAGTTATCAAAATAATGAGCAAGTAAATTATGAATATTGATGTTATGAATATATTTGAGTGATTCCCATTCACATTGAATCTGAATGATTTCGTTGTAATTTCAACTATAGGTAGTGATTTTTTAGGGGTGTTTTCGCAAATAATTATGATCGAGTCAAAATTATATAATCGTGTTTTTGAGCAATCAAATTCAAGATAAAGACATGAATTTACCTATATCAAAATCCCACTTTCGTTAGTGGTGTCATAGTCCTATACTATTCGATGAAAGGAGGTGCATTTTTTCACGGTGTCGCCTTAACCGAATTTTTACTATAGATTGTCTATACTATTACTCCTGTATAATATTATATACGCGCGTAGTACTCATGTGTGAGTTCTTATCTGAATATGGTCAGAGATTTGTTTTGAAGATTATCGTCATTACCATTGTGGCCGATCGAAAGTCCACTGCTGTTGAAAGGCCTCTCCCATAGGTTGCCTTATATCCCCATAATTGCCATAGTTGCCTTGCAAAATGATTCTGCAGTCGCAGTACGGACAAGTAGATATAATATCGATGTAGGTACATATATGTCAATATTTTGTAAATAATGTATGTTATTGCTCTAAGTTACGGGTTGCACGTATAAAAAAATTTAGGGCACAGTTGAGTTGTAGAGTACGAAATAGTAAATAAAAATGCTGTTTAAACACTTAAATTACTCTAAGTCCGAAAAAACTAAAAAACGTATTGTGACAGAAATAGAGTAAAACTATTGTATGTGTATAGTTACTCGTAGTTTCATTTATAAGCGATCTCAATTCGCTCAGTAATTATACCTCCGTTACTTGAGCTCGTTAAAATTGACAAACGTGAGTTATGTATTCGTCGTACGAATCTTGAATTACAAAAATGGCGGTGGTAATTCTAAATAGATTCGAAAAAAAACATGATAAGTACTTGAATATTACCTTAGAGTAATTACATATAAGCTAGCAATAACTCTGAGAATTTTCCATTACCGTTACAGCTTATTGAGTCCACCGCTGAACATAGGTCTCCCACATAAATTGCTACCAACCTGAGCTCTGAGCCACCTGCACACATCGGGTCCCTGCATGTTTCATCAGATCGTCATTTCATCTCGTGGTGGGTCACCCAACACTAGCAGTGTTTGTATTAGGTTGAGCCACTCGATATTCTTCCTTTTTTAGTCTTCTGTATCAGGTTTAATGGCAATATCAATTTTTCTAAATTTTTGTTTGTTTCCTTGTCCGCAGATCGAGCTATGTCCTACTCGTGACGCTAAGAGAACCGTATAAGAAGCCGATGGATTGAGGGTCACACAAGCATTAGACAGTAAATCATTAGTAATAAGCGTCAAGATGTCGCACCACTTGGTGACTGTGTGCATGTTCTGTCTGTTGTGCGCAGCGCACACGTGTGGCTCACACGTCGACGTACACAACGACATATTGTCCTACCAGCCCGACCTGAAGGACACCGAACACTTGACGGCAGATCTCGACAAGAGAAGAATAGAGTCGCGGTTGCGGCACCACCAGAAACTACAGAAAATAAGACAGAAGAGGGACGTCAAAAATGTGAACCCAAATGTGTATGTCGAGCAAATATTCAGGATGTATGGTGATGCCGGCACCATGACAATGAACCTTACTGGTTTTAATAAAATGTTAGAAGGCCTGGACCTTCACAAGCTGGTTGAGGGTGGTGTTCAAAAGACTGAGAGAAAGGAATACATTTATGGACAGACTGGGCCCAAGGAAGATGTTGTCAATGTAAGTAATTGTATTATTTAGTTAAATTAAGTTAAATCTTTCTTACAAGAGCTACTCGAAGATAATAAGTTTTTCTTTTAATTAAGAACATGCCACTTAATTGATTTTTAGAAAAATCATAAATGCCTACTGTCTGGGGCACATGGAGCACAAAGCATCCTGTTTGTTCGCGTTCCATATATTTTTATATATTATCCTATACCTTTAAACGAGCAATTCGTTTGTATTTATATGACATATATAATCGGAATCTCGGAAACGGCTCCAACGATTTTCATAAAATTTTGTGTGCAGGTAGTTTCGGGGGCAATAAATCGATCTAGCTAGGATTTATTTTTAGAAAATGTCTTTTTGTCCGTGTTTTTAGGCAATGAAAAACTGCTACAATATCGTTAGAATAAGAAGGTAAATTTTGACAATTTATTAATGATTACAAATAGCTTAATTGCTATATTGGGCGGTCACAAAATCGTAATACCATGGTTCGAGCCCAGACCGACCGACCGACTTTTTTTAATTATTTTTTTCAAGTTCCTTTCTTTTTTTGAAAAAATCTATTTTTTCGTGCCCTTTTTTTTAGTATTTTTTAAAAACACGAAAATTTAAATTAAACTAATTGCACTCATGATTTTTTATTCAAATAACCAGTTCAGTTTTTTCTATTATGTCATTAAAATCAAAAAATATTATTCGTATTTCATCAGTATGTAATTTGTATCTAAATATAATTTCCAAAGCACACGACTTAAAAAAACCGAGCGAAAAATACCGAGCAAAGCTCGGGCAACCGGGTACTATATAATTATATAAACAAATTAAAAAATACATTCGTTTCGTAAATTTATATGACTTATTTCTATATAGAGCTCTTTTACGGAAGTAAGAGTGACAAACGCGCACACAGCCCCGACCTGATGGTAAAGTAGATGTTTTGGCCCATAGATCTACAAACATCTATTTCATACAATCCTATCCCTTAGGTATAAGATGGGATGCCGCGTTACCAGCAAAAATACCATACAAAAACAGCAGTATTATGGTGCTATTTCACGCGGGTACTCGCACAGGGTGACCTTGGTTCTTCTCCGGTCGAACCGACCCGTATTAATGTTGCAAACGTAATGATATATATGCTGGTACTGTTACGTAAAACCTCATCATGATAAATAGACGTTAGTAAATAAAAGTATATTCAGATGATTTGCACCTTCTAGTATGCTTCCAATCATTCGGTGATCTAGAAATGCGTCTAAGACGGCTCTGCAAAAATGTTCCAGTTAGAGTCATAATTGAACAATAATCCTGTCCTTTATAATTATAGTATAATCATCTTTACAGCCAGTTTTTAAAGTTCAGTATAAAGCACATTAACTTACCCAACATATACATACTCATTTGGTATAGAGAATCGACTACCTCATATTATCTCGTGGGTTACATAAGATGCGACAAAGGAAAATTGTAACAGGGGATAGACAACAACATCTTCCTGAAAACAACTGAAAATAATGAAAAACTGATTGCCAAACCAGGGAAACTGAAACAGGAAATGGTCAGAGCAACGTCTTCCTGATAACAACTCAAAACTCAAACAGGAGAGAACTCAAAATGTCTGTAAAAAACTGCGGTTGTTAACCCTCTCCAAGCGACCAAGCAAGCGGCAACTGGCAGAATCCCTCCTGTTAGACAATCTGTGGAAGGAGCCTAGGTTCAGTAGTAAACTTTTGTTAGGCTGTAATGATGATGTGGAAGTCTGCTAACACGCATTGGTGCAGCGAGGCGGAATCAGGCTCCAAACCCTTTTAGAAATGCGGAGAGGACTATGTCCAAGACAAATGTACACTATTGATTTAGTTTTTACTCACACGTAATGTTGTGATACCCGCGTGAGATCAATATCTAATTAGTTTTGTCACTACCCAATACCCATCTGCCTAACAATGAATGCCCGGCCACCCTTGATTTCATCATCAAATTTATCATATTATACTGTATATTTTCATACAATATAATTTCTTTTTCAGTGTGTAAGCAGTGCAGAGCTCATCACAACAGTGAACACGAGGTTAAAACCTCACGATCATGAGCATGATCATGACCTCAGCGAACACGAAGCAGACAGCCTCATATCTGAGGACACCTTACAGGCTATATGCCCCATTTTATTATATCAAAAACTAGCTAACACTTCTATAGAAAGGCTGGGATGTCTGAAAGAATTGAATCTACCTAATAGAAGGATAGACGATAAAGAAGTAAAACCCTTCGAAAATGCGTACACGAAAAATATGTTCGCAGTGTGGTTGTACTCTTCGTTGAGTATCACAGCGATCAGTGCATGCGGCTTACTTGGTGTGGCGGTGATTCCAATAATGCATAAAACATATTACAACCATATCTTACAATTCCTCGTGGCATTGGCTGTCGGAACCCTATGTGGGGATGCACTGCTACATTTAATGCCACACGCAATGAGCCCCATGGAACATGACCACGACCATGATGTAGGCGCGTTAGAAGTCAAAACGGCGCACGATGATGGTATGTGGAAGGGATTAGCTGCGATGCTGGGCGTCGTGTTCTTCTACTTTACGGAGAAAGGTTTGACAGTTGTTGTAGAGTGGAGGAAGAGGCGTCAGAAGTTAGAAGAAGGCAAATTACCCCCAAGAGTCCGAGTTTTGAAAGATGAGGCCGTCGGTGGCTGTTCAGGTGGCTCTAAATCCCCAATTACGAATTCCACATCGAACAATTTAATGAAGATTTTCAAGAGGGATGAAAAGGGGGATCCGACGACGAAGACTTGCAAGCACAAGTACTCCGAATATCCCTATTGTTATGATGAAATTGACACAGATACCCATGACGAGCATCATATGAGAGATGGTCTTCCGCCAAGCCCGAAAGCGAATAAAAAACACAACAACTCTGTCAGCGTGGTGTCCTCCAACGCTCTGAATCCAGAAGGAAAGGAGAACGAACCAACTGCGAAGGACTGGTTGTTGAAAGCAGAGTCTACTCCTGCTGTTGTTGAAATGAATAACATCAAGCATAAAGAGGATGGTGCTAAGGATTTGAAGGATGGTGACAGCTACACAGTTATTCTAAGGTAAGTGGAACAGATTTTTTTTCGAACAAGGGTGATAAATGGACACACATTCCTCGTTTCCAGTAAAAAGGTTCTCCGGTTCTCCACACTCACCATACGAAACACCAGCAGCATTAAGCTGGTATTCTGTGAGAGCTTGGTCCTTTCAGAGTCAAACCGACCTATTCGTGCTACAACCATAATATAGCTACAGCGTGGCTCTTCCACATAGAAAATTGTAATATATTATGGTATTTCTTAGACAAGAGTTGCAGTAACTCAGGGGCTGACTGGCTCTTAGTTAAAGTATAACGGAAAATATGTTAAGTTGGTACACAAACTGTTTTCAAATTAGTTTAGCACCAAGTAGTTGCTATATGAAATGGCCCTTATTTTTAGTCAGTGGCTGTCAATGCCTTTTAGATTGTATAATGGTATTCTGTGGTCCTTCCACGATCGAATCGACTCATTCGTGTTCTAAACGCTTACTTCATAATTTCTTTGTCACTTACACTTGTTACAGTTACGTAGTACAGGGGGGAATATGAGATACGGTCATTTAGTAATCAACATGTTTCGATACGTTGTCATGGGCAACGCATTTAGATTCATTATGGAATAAGCAGTGCCTTTGTACATAATTATGTTTTTACCATTTTCCTATCGAAATATGTGTGTACATAAATAAAAATAATTATGTATTGCTTTGTTGTATTCTTTTTTATTGAAATAATAAAAAATGAAAAAGCTGATATACAATGCCTGCCTACTCATGAAAATTTTCGGTATTTTGAAATTAGCGTTGTAAATCGATACCGTAACCAGAACCGGAACCTTACCGAAAAGTAGATCCTTGATTAAAACCTATAGGAAGAACCGTAACGAAATTAGGAACCATTTTTCAACCCCTACTTAGTAAGCATTCCAGTTCTCAAGGGTAATGCATATGTAGCCTTTTTATATGATTATTTAATTTAATTTAATGTATTTTTAATATATGTTATAAATACATTAAAATAAATTAATACAAATAAATTTAAGCTTTTTGCACACCTTCTCCATATAAACTTTATGGCGCGAAATATACTTAACTAACTTGCCAGGCAGACGTTCTGCCCTTTTCGACGACCCTTTGTCATGTCCTATTAAAAATCCTTAAATTCGCAAAAAAATATTATGGGTCACTCATGGGCAAAAAAATTATCCTATCTCTCAATTTGGACCAAACCGCAAACGGTGTGCAAATTTGGTATTAAAATCGGTTAAGTAGTTTATAGTCTATTAATATATAGATTTCGTTGCTGGTATGTATAGGTTGCAGCAGTAATTTACCATGTGGTATTTGTTCGTGCTTCCTTCGTTAGTCAGTTTGTACGTGTTGTGCAGGGAGCACTCGCGCGCGCACCACGGGCACTCGCACGCGCACGGGCACGTGCACGCGCCGCCCTCCTCCATGTCGTCCGTCGCCTGGATGGTCATCATGGGCGACGGCCTGCACAACTTCACCGACGGCATGGCCATTGGTAAGTAACCACATGACACTCAACAATAGTACTTAACACGTTGACTGCCAGCCCGGTCACCGGTGACCGGACCCCGTCTTGTATCTACGCGCCGTGTGTCACCGGTGACCTCGAGACAGACCTGTTTTCGGGCACAATTATTACGCCGGTGGCCACGTTTATCGTACATTTAGTATATGCAAGTGACCGGAGCGGCGCTCTAGATTGTTACTTCAGCGTGGTTTCGGCGTGTCTATGAAATTGTGAGAATTGTGGGACAAAAATGAAGAAAGTAAGTGAAAAAACGTAACTGTCACAAAAATCAAGGATTTATTTTTATCAATGTGTGAAATATAAGTAAAAAACAAGTAACAAATTATTCTAAAATACAAATTAAACGAAGCGATGGAACTTATTGAAACACATTAAACAAAAATATGGTTCATTTGGACATTCTTTACAAAATGTTGCTACTTTCTTTGTTTTATTTTTGGCTGATTTTGAACCGTACATTGCCACACAGTTTTTGTAACATTCTGAACAAAATCGTCGAGTGTTTCTCACATTACCCTCTTTTTTTCAATAATTGATGTTTCAGTCTTTTTGGTCTATCTATTCTTTCGGGTTCTATGGTCTGCTCCTTTCCTGCATCAACTAAATACTCCACTAACTCTCTTCTAAACTGTACTATACTTTCACTTTTATTTTTATTTTCGTTGTACATAACCCATGCATTAACAATCTCTGTATTCAATATAAGTTCTATTCCTAATTTTTTATACCACTTCACCGATTTACGTAATGGTGAGGAATATGCGGCCATTTGATCGCTCATATCAACTGCGCTTTTTATTTTGTTGTAGGCTAAAACCATTCTTGGTTTGCGAATTACTTTACCCTTTTTAGTTATTTTAGAAAATCCTTTAGAATGTGTCGTGGATAACATCAGCACGTCTCTTTTGTCCTTCCACTTCAATACGCATATTCCTCGTTCATTCTCCATAGCTATTACTTCGCCTGGTTTTAATTTTGAGTCTACTACCGCTTTCGGCAAACCTCTTCTATTTTTCCTCAAAGTAACCACCAAATGAGTGTCCTTATCGAGTAGTTCATTGGCCAGCTCCAAGCTTGTATACCAATTGTCAGTTACAAGTGTGTGACCACAGCCCAGTATGTGCTTACAAAGAGACATTACCACTCTTGTAGGTGTGGTATTCACTAGTTCATTATTTTTGCCAGCGTACAGTTCCAATTTGCATGTATATCCTGGTAATGTACAAAGTTTAAATAACTTCATACCATATTTGTGCATCTTGCTTTTGTTATATTGTCTAAAAATGATGCGACCTCTGAAAGGCACTTGGCTTTCATCAATACAAATATCTTCCTTAGGTGCATATATATTTTTAAAAGTTTTGTTTAAACTATTTAAAAGGGGTCGTATTTTGTAAATTCTGTCAGACACATCAGCCGTATCATTATTCGTAAAGTGCAGTTTCTGCAATAGTAATTCAAATCTGTTACGGCTCATAATAGATGCAGCAAAGATTTGCCCAAAAACCCTGTCAGTACTCCAATAAAGGTTTATTTTAGGTATTTTAACAAGTCCCATATATAAGATTAATCCGAAGAACCGTTTTATCTCAACTTTTGTGGTTGCTTTCCAGTTATTTGAGCGAGACGAAGGTTTTTCACTAGGTCCTTGTTGCTCTGCAAACAAATTGGTTTGAATAGCAATTTCTTCGAAAATTTCATCCGGAACCATCAGGCTAAAATATTCTCCTGGAGCAGCATTTCGAAGTTGCGTAGTATGTGGTTCTCTCATACCTGAAATTAAACAAATATATACCTTATCATAATACGGTTTAATATACAAATATCAACATAGAAACATTACCGACCGACCGAATAAACCGACCGATACATAATGTACAAATATCAACACAGAAACATTACCGACCTAGGAATCGAACCCGGTAGCGCTCGCGGCAATTTATGCCACATGGGTTTTATTTATATATAGATATCTATCGTCTATCTATCTATTACTATAATAAAATCGTAAAAAGCAACACTTTGTTACCTAAAATCTTGACAATGGTTGAACGAATCTTGATGAAATTTGATATCTTATATTCTAAAATAGAACAAACCAAAAACAAAACAAACAAATAAAATAATATAATATACCTGTTAGTTCTGTAAACGCTATAACAGATGGTTGATGTCCTTTTGGTTGAAGCCATTTTAATGACGTACTCGCCGTTAATCTATCAATGTTTTTATTTACAAATTTTTCCACGTCATCACTTTCACTCTCAGATGCACTAGGAATAAACATACGTTTGCGTTTTTTTGAAGGATAGATATTATAATCTTCAATGTCTGATTTTTTATTTTCACTCAAATAATTTTTTTCTAGCAATTTCATCAAAAATACTAGCTTCCAGTAACTCAATGTCGCGCAAATCATCTAATGAAATATCTATAAAATTCTCGTCTAAATCATTACTATTCTCCATGTTGAATCACAAAATCTAACAAATTAAAAAGCACGAGTGTCCGTCACGGGCACACTGTCCAAGCGCAAACAGATGACTGCGGGGTGCGGGTGACCGGAGAAGTGCCCGGCCCGGCGCCCCGTAACGGAAATTCACATTTTTACTATCAAGGCGCCACGTAGGTCACCGGTGGCCTCATGTAGTTTTTTTCGAAATAATTATTAAACGCGGCTTCTGATTGAACCCTAAATTAGATACATTTTAAAGTATTGATATTGCACACCTATTTTCATCAAAAAGTTTTTTAGTGATTTTTCTCATTTACACTACGGCAGTCAATGTGTTAATATAGCCCACTCCATACTCGGGTTTAAATATAAGTAGGCGTGCAACGAATACCTATTCGGCTATTATTTCGCCTAATCGGCTACTTTTTACGTATTCAGCCAAATAACGAATATCTGAACACTATTCGGCCTAATACTGTATACTTGAGTTAGATGTGTTGTTGAAGCCAGATAATTAGTAAAATTGAAACATTGATTTATTTTTAAATGAAGTGTTTTAATTACAATCATTAAAGTAGTCACAGCAGTACATAGCCAACTTAATAAGCACTTGAATTATCGTAATTAAAGCGAAAAATTACGGTGCAGAAAGACTAACTTTTCTACATTTTCAGGCAGTAGTTTACTCATTTTCTTCTCGTAGACACTCACAGCTTCCAAGAATAGATGCTCTAAATAAAAAACAATGCTTCCGTCCCGACCCGCAGAATATTCGGCTTGTGACCGAATATACTATTCGTTTAAAGTCTACTTATAAGTTAATCTAAATCAAGGCCTAGTGCCAGTAACACGACTTTGATGCGACACCTTTCATCTCCTCATTTAAACATCTCTATATTACACTACATTTGATAGATACAGCGGTATGCGTCAGTCAGTCAGTCGTCAGTTTCCTCAACTTTTCTTATGGAAAAAGGCAACAAACGAGTACACAGTCCACCAGATGGTAAATGGGTGTTGTGGCCCATAGACATTAACATCTGTCTTCGATTAAAAATCAAAATGTACATGTGTGGTCACCCCTGAGAACTAAAGATGGACTCTCTGCACTCACGAAACAGCTGCATTAAGCTGAACATCTGTGAGTGTAGTTCTTCCCCGGTTCAGCTGATCATAATATAGCGTCGCGCAACAACCTTAACCGATTCGTTGCGACACCAATTTTCGACAACTTTTTGCTATGGCGGCGAACAAAAATTTCGTGACACGCCTGTCGTGTCAAGCGCCATAGATGACTCGACTATTCTGCCACCAGTCATGTTTAAAAATAACGTAGTTTTTATGCTTTTTTCACTTGTTTAGACCTGATTAAGTTTAGTTGACATCAAACATCAATTGCAAACGAAAGGATACTTGTTTTAGTGGCTAACTACGTGTTTTTCTACGTGTTTTCCTTGAAATGGAGGGTAGGTGACTTTTTATGGAGAGATTACAAAAACTTTTGGTACTATTTTTTGTTTTATGAAAAAATATAAGTAGGTACAGCTAAATAACCCTAAAAAGCCTTGGTTTTTATTAAATAAAATTTTCACCTTATAATAATGTTCTGAAAACGTCTAATTACTTATTAAAGTATTTTTCACAACATGATTTAAATAAAAAAAAACCCACTCAGTAAAAAAAGTACCATCTAGGAGTTAAGAAAGGTTGTCAACCCCTAAAAATTTCAATTTCTCAAAATATCCAGAAACGGGACATTTATCCGCAGCAAAATATTCATTATTTTTTTAAATCTTCCAAAAACGCAAATTGAGCCGGTTATAACAATTTTTAAATGACACGATTCGCGTGTAAAAAAACAAATATACATAGAAAAATAATAGATGGCACGTCTGGCGAGCCATCCGTACTGAATCAGTTAATATAGCTGCAGCGTGGCCGTTACCGTTACCGTTACCATCAAGTTTTTAGTGAGCCTCACCGCATACGGACCAAACGACAATCGATACTCAAATCACCTAAATGGAGTTTTCAAACAACTTTTCATAATATACCAGCGCAGTACTTTCCACTTGGAGCGTAGTTCGCTTCGTTCGGGCTAAACTTCTAGTCTGGTAACCACAACACTAAATTCATTTTTCTTAAGGGTGGATTTGCGAAAGGATAAAATGTCTCAAAACCTAAGGGTTTGTACCTTATGTAATATTTTTGTACACCACTAGCACTACCGAGTTTTGCTCCTCATAGCTAAATAAGGAAAATACACCATTTTTTTTCCGACTACGGAGGGTAATGTGTTTATCAGCCCATGTATGATGTTTATTCCTTTATGGCGCACTAGAGACCAAACGCGTGAGGCGATTTTTTAAATGATTCATCAATCGATTTGCTTTAATCTTGTGAGCGTCACTAAAAACGTGATAGTAATCAAAATTCAATATGGCGGCAATTAGACGCCATATTGCTTAAAAGAAAAAAAAATAAAGTCGACGAACTATGTCATATGATAAAAAAATAGGTTTCTCTATAGTCAACCAAATCTAAGAAATACCTTTTGACAGCTGTCAGATTTATTGCACCAAGCATGCCTGAGAACTAGCCAACTAGCCAACCAAAAAATGAGAACGTACAATAATCGATTCTTAAAAAATCGATATCGATTATTTAGAGTTGGTAATCATTCACAGTTAGGTTTAAATAATACCCAGAATAAATTAGAAACGTATAATTTAAAGCAAAAGATTTTTTCGTTTTCTTCGTATTTGTTGTAACTGCTTATTTCTAGAGGAAAAGTCATAAAAATTAAGATTGAAACTAGTTTAAAAATAAATTTATTCAATCACTTTCACTACTACTAGTTGAGCTGTCGTTGTTAAGATTAATTATTATTTGATTTTCAATAATGCAATCAAAATTAATGTCTCTTTTAAAGTCATCCATAATCATTTTTTTGTTTTTTCTACCACTTTTGCCCAATCATCCTTTGTGACATGGCTACATGCTTTCTTGAGCAAACCTTCCATCTTCGTCGTGAAAGGTGGTTTGGTGTTATGTCGCGCTACGTAGCTTTTAAAAAAAGCGTAAGATATTTTCATTTTGTGTGTGTTTAAATAAAGTTAATATGTTTGCACTTTTCATATAAGAACTAGCCTTTGATTTGGGCCCAAATCAATTCAATAGCATTATATTGGAAGTAGTATGGCTTATAACTTTATGCCCGTGCTCTTCTGCTAATTTATCAATAACATATAAAGGTTTACGTGGTTTATTTTGCTTTACTAATTGTATTAGCTCAGCTTTCAACAACTTCATGTCCGCTTCCACACCTTTGTGTTGCAGCCATTCTATTAAATCTGCTTTCTTATTCGCTTGGGTTGGGGCTTTGTCGATTTGGACAGAATGGTACGGAGCGTTGTCCATTATTATGCTGTTATTCGCAGGAATGTTTCGTAAAAGGGTTATAAACCACTCTTTGAATTTTTCTGGATCCATTTCCTCACGGTATTCTCTTTTATTCTTTGATTTGAAGGCTAATAAAAAAATTTGTACAAATCCTCCTCCGGCTGATCCTGCATGGCAAACTATGAGGCGCCCACCTTTCCCCGCGAGCACCTTCGAGCAAGTTGCTGTAGTGTCATCTGTCCATATTTGCGCTACAGTGTGGTTGGCGTTTAACCGCGTTTCATCAAGAAATATGACATTGTCCCAGTCGTTTATATTTTTCATTTCACTTAAAAATGTTATTCTTTGCAAGACTATGTCATGTCTCTCCATAATTATTTTACGTTGTCAAGTTTTTTGTATCGAAATCCTATGCGTTTTAAAATGGTTCTCAATGACTCTACACTACCACTGTACAATCCGGCATCTAGCAACTTCGCGCCACAGTAGGATATTCGCCTCTTATGAAATAGCCGTAGATATGTTTTTAAATTGCATCTGCGTCGAATTGATCGATACCTGTTACTGGTTTGTTCTTTTTTCGTTTTTTCGGCGTGTGAATTAAATTATTCTTACTGCCTGAAGGTCTGTACTTTTCCGTGACGATCTTTGCAACGGTACGTTTGCCAATCCCAAGTGCTTCACCGACACGATCCAGCACTTGTGTCACTGGTAAAAGAGGCCCACCGTTTTGTGACTCACGTTCAAAATATTCGTGTAATTTCACCACCATTGCACGAGCTTTACTGTACGACTACCATAACTACGTCCTCTTTTCGACATTATGATCACTTGCTTAATCAGAGTCCAGTATATAAATTGCCAAGGTCAACGATTATAGAAGAAACGGTTCAAAAAGTTAAAGCCGGGTCACAAAATAAGAAAACAAACACAAAATCAAAAAATTACGCACAGTAAACTCCCAAAAGATTGAAATTACGTTGTGGTTTTTTCAGCGCGGCCTTGGATATGAGTTTTTTTGCCTACACAAATTTATGTTGACAAATTAAAAAAAATAAACTTGTTTTATTTATGATTCATGTAATTGAAATTTTAAAAATAAAATAAAATTAAAGAAATAATACATTCAAGAAAATTAATAATTCGATTATTTGAATATTTTTATCGATTATTTGAATATTTTTGCCGATTATTCGCATAAAAATGAATTTTAATCATCCAAACACTACGGTAATGTACATAGCGACATATCATTGATATGACGTCAAGTAAAAAAGTTGATACTGGATTTTTTTAATATTTTGCTTTGTTTGAAAAATTTAAATTTAAATTAGAGATGAAAAACTATACATGTTGTAAAGAAATATATATAACTTCTTATTCTTCGGATTTACGTAAAAGGTTATTTTAAATCGTGTGAGTACGCTTGTGCAAAGTTATTGCTGAATGATTAATGTGAAACGTCAAAAGGTATTTCTTAGATTTGGTTGACTATAGTCCTTTTTTCATTTTGAATGACCATTTAGGATCTATAACGATTGAAAGTTAGCTAGCGACCATTCTCGTTTGAATTTTCAAACTTAAAATAAAGCTGTGAAAATTCTTATATAATCGTATAATGGATGTTGTTAGTAATTTTTACGCAATCGGGTGTTTTTTAAAAACAGTATTATTATTATTTTTGTAGGATACAGTCCACCTGATGGTAAGTGGATGCTGTGTCTGACCCATTGACATCTATATTTACCCTCGATTAATAATCAAAACGTAGCACTGTCACCCCTGAGGACTAAGGTGGAATGTCTCGTTTCCCGTAAAAAAGTGTCTCCGGATCTCTACATTCACCATACGAAACTGTTATTTTCCGCTGGTATTCTGTGAGAGGTTCTTCCCCGATCGAGCCGACTTATTCGTGCTACAACCATAATATAGCTGCAGCGTAGCTCTATCACGTACGAATAACTTGTTTGTTAAGACTTAGGTCAACGTTAGTTGTGGGGTGAAATTAGAGCAAATCCGCTACTCCCCCTCTAGTATTTCGATTGTTGCTATACACTCCATTTTGTCATGGCATAATGGACTAGTGAGTTTTACTTCGTTACTGCATTGGCTTATTGAACCAACACTAAATAATTTCTTTCAGGAGCGGCGTTTGCATCGAATATCGCCGGTGGTTTCTCTACAGCCATTGCGGTTCTCTGTCACGAGCTTCCTCACGAGTTGGGTGAGTTGCTTGGGATTTTACGTACGAAATTGTTATGGTATATACATTTTACAGCCAGAAAAATATTTACAATTTTTTAAAAAGCTTATAGCTCTACACGTAATACAATTTAGTTTTCAAGTTTTGAGGTGTACCTGATGAGAAGATGAGTCGTAATTTTCCGAACGTTGCCAGTCGATTTTGAATCTGCCGATTGACTTCTCGGTTGAAGTCGAACTCACCTAGTTGGACATTTGTCCCAGGTAAACGTACTCGTCAACACCTACCGGCATAGGTACTAGCATAGGTACCGGCATAGGACTTCGTCTGCGTGGATGTATTTACAGTTGGGTATTATGGGTATTTGATTTCTTCGCGCGGACCGGAACCCACCGAAATTGTTTTTCTAAAATAATAGTAGCCTAAGTTACTCCTTGTACCAACCATTAGTAGTTATGTGCCAGTGAAACTCCCGTCACAATCGGTCCAGCCATTTCAGAGATTAGTGGCAACAAACAGGCAAACGGACAAAAATTTGTAATATTGTTTGCCTAGTGGTTGTAGTAGTGTGACTGCTGATCATGAGGTCCTGGGTTCGAATCCCGGGTCGGACCAAAAAATCAATTATTGAGTTTTTCCGTCAAGAAATTCTCAGTAGCTGCCCGGAGTCAGGAAGTTGGCGGTGTCTCACCCCTGTGCCTCGGAAAGCACGTAAAGCCATTGGTCCTGCGCCTGATCTCTCTCCGGTCGTGTCGGTTTATCGTCCTATCGGATTACGAGAGTGAGGGAATAAAGAGTGTACCTGTGCTTGCGCATACACTTGGGCACTATAATCCTGTCCTGCGCCGATGGCTATTCTCCGTTGAGGCAGGCCGCCGTGGCCGAAATTCGGTCTGCAGGACCTTATTATTATTTCTGTAAATATCTTCTCATATGTATTTAATAAGAAGCTGTTATTTTAGTATTAGAAACAAACACTTGAATAAAATTTAGTGTTGTAGATATAGATGTAAGATTGTATGTGGTATGTGTACGTGGGGCGCAGGCGACTTCGCGGTGCTGCTGAAGGCGGGCATGTCGGTGCGGCGCGCCGTGTGCTACAACGCGCTGTCGTCGGCGCTGTGCCTGGCCGGCATGGTGTGCGGCGTGCTGGCCGGCCACGCGCCCTCCGCCACGCGCTGGCTGTTCGCCGCCGCCGCCGGCATGTTCCTCTACATCGCGCTCGGCGACATGGTGAGTACTGCTGCCCCCGCACTAGAACCTTGTCTTACTTACTGCCTGGCCGGCATGGTGTGCGGCGTGCTGGCCGGCCACGCGCCCTCCGCCACGCGCTGGCTGTTCGCCGCCGCCGCCGGCATGTTCCTCTACATCGCGCTCGGCGACATGGTGAGTACTGCTGCCCCCGCACTAGAACCTTGTCTTACTTACTGCCTGGCCGGCATGGTGTGCGGCGTGCTGGCCGGCCACACGCCCTCCGCCACGCGCTGGCTGTTCGCCGCCGCCGCCGGCTTGTTCCTCTACATCGCGCTCGGCGACATGGTGAGTACTGCTGCCCCCGCACTAGAACCTTGTCTTACTTACTGCCTGGCCGGCATGGTGTGCGTCGTGCTGGCCGGCCACGCGCCCTCCGCCACCCGCTGGCTGTTCGCCGCCGCCGCCGGCATGTTCCTCTACATCGCGTTCGTCGACATGGTCAGTACTGCTGCCGACGCACTAAGCCGTGCTGCCGGGGTGATACATGTGTACGGACGCTTCCGAAGCGAACAAAGCAATTCGCTTGGGACGCTTCGGAAAGTAGAATTGCGTTCGGAATAACTGTAGGAGATGTTAGGTTCCGATAGGCACTTCCGAAGCTATTGAAACAATTCGCCTGGGATGCTTCGGAAGGTATAATTGCATTCGGACTAACTACCGGAGATGTTAGTTGTGGATAGGCACTTCCGAAGCTTCCGAAGCAATTCGCTTGGTACGCTTCGGAAGGTAGAATTGCTTTCGGACTCAATGCCGGAGATGTTAGGTGTATGTATAATTCTATAGCTTCCGGATGTTCACTTTAAATAATTTAGAGCCTAGCATGTTTCTCAGTACTACTTTGTCAATTGAAAATATAATTTTTAGTTTTCCACATCTCGAACGCGAAGCGACAGAGATTGCGCGTTTACTGTCGCCTTGATTAACAACTACCATTTAATAATTTTGATATAATATATAGTTATCAATTTCGTGTAAATGTTATATAGGATGTGTTCCGATATACACTGCGACCACTGCTCAGTACTCTCACTGGTGAAAAATTAATTACGTTATGAACTGCTAGTATACTGCCGCAGTAACCTAAGGAAATATATGACGTCATAAATCGCAGCCATTTTTGTACTGAGAGCACTGGTGCTTTCAAGGTAAGTTGCTCTCACTTTGATCACGTGATAAAAAAACATAACAGCGCCTAGAGATTTAACAGCTTCCACGAATGATCATTATTAATATTAATTTATGTTGTTATTCAAATAAACCCGGACATTAAATTTTAAAAGCAACTACATTGAAATAATAATTAATTTTATTAAACAGAAAACGTGTACTTACATGATATGTTTTTTCATTTGAAAACATTGTCGACAAATGGGAATGACAGTATACCAGTATAGCAAACTAAAAATGAACGGCTTTACAGTATACTGAATTGACGTCATATCTTACAATGATCACAGTGTATATCAGAACACACCATAATGTGATAATGAGTATGTGACTTGCTTCAATAACTACAATGCCGTATATCCTGTATTCGAATTTGCAAATTTATGTAAACACGCAAACTGTTAGTTTTAAATTAAATTTATCGCCGTGATCAAAGTCAATCAAAAGAACATTATCTATGTTTGTTAACTATTTACTTGTATATTATATATTACTATATGTCCTTTTGTCCAGAATTAGATGTAGAATTTTTTTTTGTATTCATGTTTCAGATGCCAGAATTAAGCACATCTCACAGCAAAGAGGGGACACTGTGCCAATGTATTCTTCAACTGATGGGTCTGGCATCGGGAATTGGCATAATGCTCGTCATCGCTATGTACGAGCATGACCTCAAAACGCTCTTTGGTTAAAAAGTTGATAGTGCAGCAGACAACCCAGTGATAAGTGTTAATAAGTGAAAATGTTCTCTAACGGAAACTAAAAGGTGTCAAATTTAGCGGAACAGTGCAAATGAACCGGTGGAAGTGAGTGAAGTGTTCGAATTTGTAATATAAGTGTTTTCCTAACTTCAATTATATTGGGGTCTTTATTATACTATAATTTCCCGAAGGTCATATTGACCTATAGATTAAAAAAATGATGAAGTTGAATAACTGACCATGTTCTCTCATTCTATTATAAATTTGTTTGCTTTAGTATTTAAGTACAAAAGAAAATAATTAATTTCCATGGCTATCGTAAAAATGATTTACTTGTCTACATTTTGAAAATCAATTCTTTTTTTTCCATTCTATTGAATTCAAAAGAAAAAGTTATTTACACAGATAATGTGAGCCAATTATTATTTTACAGCTGGTGCTCTGATTTTTGGGTATGCAGTTCCTAAGAATGTATATTATTTCTCATACTTATTCCTTAAGGAATTCAATTACTCTAACTGTAATGTGATGTACTTAGACAGCGCTCAACTCCATACTTTTAAAGTATAAGTATATAACTTAGAAGAAACTTAATCATGTAACAGATACTTAAATAGGATTTGTAATAAATTATTATGAACCTGTGAATGTGTAAGTTATTGTGTGGAAAAAATCCATTAAATAACCTCCTTAGTAACCTTTATATGACTACAATAGTTTTTGAAGAGGTAAAAATATGTTTATGGAGAATGAATTTTATACATACATACATACATACTACAGATATTTTATAGTGGTTAACACCACTATTTAAGCTGAACGCACATTTGTCAAGACCGTACGCGCCGCATTTTATAATTAGTTGTACGAAATCATATGAAACTCCGCACATTTCATATAATGCGGTGCGTTCGGCGCGTGTTGACTGATGTCTGATGTTCTGATCACTAAAACTGGTGGTTTCAACTTTCGTTTCGAAATATATTTTTACTTCATTTCAGGAGCATTTTCCTTTACTGTGTAGGCAACAATGAGTCGTCACACAAGACTTTTCACACAAAACTTTTTATAACTTTTAATTAATACGTAATTAATTATAAATAATTTTGAAAACATTTTTGCATCGATAATCAATATGAATACTTAGCGACAAACTAATTTAAACACAATAAAAAAATGATTGTTAATTTTAGTTCAAAAACCCATTTATACTTGATTACTTAATTAGCAATAAAAATACTCACCTCAAACATACAAGTCTTTCCTCTGGTTCAATTGGCCTCCTAAATCTTGAGTTTTTCGTAGAGAGATATGGTTTAGTATGTGTAGCAATTCTTGAAATTTTTTGTATTTTAAATGCAAATATCTAAAAAATTATTCATCATAATCTAATAAGTCTTTAAGTATAATTTTCTCCATACAACTGCCTTTTAAATTAATATTATGAATCCGGAATCTTCTTTTCTTCAAATTTTATTTTCTTCTGCCATTAAGGGTACACTAGTCACTGTTCTTCCATACAAACGTAGTTTGGCAACTACTCCACTGTTTGATGGTGTACGTTCAAAATAAAAAATGATTTCAATTTGTCTCATCATTATCTAGCCCTGTATGGAAACAAAAAAGTAAAAAAAGAGTATGTTCAAAAGTTATAAGCGTCGAAATTTCCGAATTTCAACACTAGTTTTAACACATCTTTTGGCGGAAATAAATACCATAAGAAGAACGAAAATTGCAAAAACGTTACCATACGGGGATAGATTAGTTGTTCAAAAATGCAAATAATTTCATTTTGAACAGATACTTTCAATAGATTTTTCAAGACATCCAGACTCCCAAAGGTCTGTTTATAAAATTTCGCGCGCTCCTTTTTGTTTTAAATCATCTTGCCTTTCGCTACAAATCGTTTCCCCGATCAGTGGTACGGACGGAGGGGGGGGGGGGCGCAGCGCGCACCCACACATGCTCACTAGGTTAGCCGCTGCTATCTATTTATGGTTGTAATACCTACATATCTACATCCTTATTTAGAAAAATTCCTTCCTTTTGTTCGTGTCCACTTGCTGAAGCTGGGATGAATATAGCTGGTAAAATGTACCCATAAGTTCGTTGAAGCACATGTAGTTAAAATTGAAAACAGGTAGGTACTTAATAATGAACTTTCGATACAGGTAGTACATTAGGTACTTAACTACTTTAATTTGCCAACTAACGAAAACATCTTCTGTTGAATTTAAAGCAAGCGCTAACCATCTGAGCTATCACGGCTCTTAATTCTTATGTACTTACATAAATTACATTGGGTATATTAGGATATGAGATTCCTATACGTAAGCACGATTGTCGAAAATCTTAAAATATCTATAAATTTAATTAGAATAGGTAATTTTTAGATTTTCGATAATCGTGCTTACGTATAGGAATCTCATATCCTAATATACCTAATGTAATTTATGTAAGTACATAAGAATTAAGAGCCGTGATAGCTCAGATGGTTAGCGCTTGCTTTAAATTTCACAGTACGCTAGCAAACCGGGTTCGATCCCCGCCGGCACCAATGAAATTGTTAATTGCAATTTTAAGTGCTGATTTACCACGTGCTCGGCGGTGAAGGAAAACATCGTGAGGAAACCTGCATGTCAGAGAAATAAGAAAAAAATATATTTCGAAGACATGTGAAGTTCGCCAACACGCATTGGGGCAGCGCGGCGGACAATTACTTGCCCTAAAACCCTCTCAGAAATGAGGCCTGTGCCCAGCAGTGGGACGTGTATACAGGCTGTAACTTTACTTTACTTTTACATAAGAATCTAAGAAGGGTAGTCAATGATAAATAAAATTTGTTTTGTAAGTTGTTTTTTTAAAAGACACTAACACAACAAAAACATGAAACTGAGAAGCATCCGATCTGCCGAAACAAACTCAGAGAGGTCAGTCCAGGTATTACATTGGTCATGTCATACGAGAACCAGGCAGGTGGCTAATGGTCCTTTGAAGAAAGAACCATACAGATGTGAGTGGACAACTAAGTACTTTTTAGGATTCCGTACCCGAAGGGTAACCAGCAGGGCCCTATTACGGAGCCTCCGCTGTCCGTGTGTCTGTCTGTCAGCGGGCTGCATCTCATGATCCGTAACAGGTAGATGGTTGTAATTTTCACAGAACGTGTATATCTGTTGCCGCTATAACAGCAAATAGTAAAAATAAATTTTAAATTAAAGGGTTTCCTACTAGAAAAAGAAACGTGTATTTTTGGCTTTTTTGATCGATAGTAATATGTATATTTAAATCTTGTAAGATGGTACGGAAGCTCGGAAGTCGACCTTGGCAAAATATTTGTTTATATTTAACCTTACCTTAGACACACTCATATTTTTATATATAATTTAATATACTACTATATAAGCTACTACTAAATAAAATAGTAGTAGCTTTGCTATGGTATTATAGTATATATTATTTTGGTTTAGATTTAATTTACCTATTACAGAATAATACGAACTATATAAAAAGCGCATCACCTACCTCAGATATTGGGTTATGAATACAGATAAGTACACATAGGATTTAGTTTCTAAGTTGTACATATTTTATAGCCTTCGTTATCAATAGCATAAACAGGCCAAGCCCCCTAGCCTACAAACGTTTCGTAACGAATCTCTTTATACAATCGCGCCTTTTATTTGTTTGGAC